AGATGCACATATGTACATTTCAGGGGTGTGGAAATTTGTGAAAAAAACTACTTGTTCAGGGACTAAATCAGAGCCCCAATCTACGTCTCCTTCATGACAATCTAGTTGCCCTAATACATTTTTTTTTTTTTTTTTTTAACCACAATTGTTTTTAAATAGGAGGTAATTTTAGGAATGTCTGGGGGGGCTGTTAAAAACAAGAGAGGCTTTATGGCGACTTAAAACGTGTAATTTTTTTACCATTGCGCTGGTTATCTCCTCCTCCCCTCCCTGCCTGTCTCCAGCACCGCACTCGGGGACTAGCAGGGAGGGGAGAGACCTTGCAGTGTGATGAACAACAATGTGGCTGCTCATCAGGGAAGGGGAGTGTCGGGCTTATACTTTATCCCTTTCGCTGCCAGAGCCGTTTTTGCGGTTTTTTTACACACGTTTAAAAAAATCATTTTAGGCCTGAAGATTACACAAAACTCCTGAACATGATATACAGGTGAAACTCGAAAAATTAGAATATCGTGCAAAAGTTAATTTATTTCAGTAATGCAACTTAAAAGGTGAAACTAATATACGAGATAGACTCATTACATGCAAAGCAAGATAGTTCAAGCCGTGATTTGTCATAATTGTGATGATTATGGCTTACAGCTCATGAAAACCCCAAATCCACAATCTCAGAAAATTAGAATATTACATGCAATCAATAAAACAAGGATTGTACATAGAACAATATCGGACCTCTGAAAAGTATAAGCATGCATATGTACTCAGTACTTGGTTTGGGCCCCTTTTGCAGCAATTACTGCCTCAATACGTGACATGGAAGCCATCAGCCTGTGGCACTGCTGAGGTGTTATGGAAGACCAGGATGCTTCAATAGCGGCCTTCAGTTCTTCTGCATTGTTCGGTCTCATGTCTCTCATCTTTCTCTTGGCAATGCCCCATAGATTCTCTATGGGGTTCAGGTCAAGCGAGTTTGCTGGCCAATCAAGCACAGTAATTGAACCAGGTTTTGGTGCTTTTGGCAGTGTGGGCAGGTGCCAAGTCCTGCTGGAAAATTAAGTCAACATCCCCATAAAGCTTGTCTGTGGGAGGAAGCATGAAGTGCTCCAAAATCTCCTGGTAGACAGCTGCGTTGACCCTGGACTTAATGAAGCACAGTGGACCAACACCAGCAGATGACATGGCTCCCCAAATCAACACAGACTTCACATTGGACTTCAAGCATCTTGCAGTGTGTGCCTCTCCATTCTTCCTCCATACTCTGGGTCCTTGGTTTCCAAATGAGATGCAAAAGTTGCTCTCATCAGAAAAGAGGACTTTGGACCACTGAGCAACAGACCAGGTCTGTTTTTCTTTAGCCCAGGTAAGACGCTTCTGACATTGTTTGTTGTTCAGGAGTGGCTTGACAAGAGGAATACGACATTTGAAGCCCATGTCCATGATCCGCCTATGTGTGGTGGCTCTTGATGCATTGACTCCAGCCTCAGTCCACTCCTTGTGAAAGTCCCCAACACTTTTGAATGGCATTTTCCTGACAATCCTCTACAGGCTGCAGTCATCCCTGCTGCTTGTGCACCTTTTTGTTCCACACGTTTCCCTTCCACATAACTTTCTATTAATGTGCTTTGATACAGCACTTTGGGAACATCCAACTTCTTTTGCAGTTACCTTTTGAGGCTTTCCCTCCTTTTGGAGGGTGTCAATGATGGTTTTCTGCACAACTGTCAGGTCAGTAGTCTTTCCCATGATTGGGATTCCTACTGAACCAGACTGAGACCATTTAAAGTCTCAGGAACCCCTTCCAGGTTTTAAGGCTTAATTAGCGGATTAGAGTGGGACACTTTGAGCCTAGAAAATTGCACCTTTTCACAATATTCTAATTTTCTGAGATTGTGGATTTGGGGTTTTCATGAGCTGTAAGCCATAATCATCACAATTATGACAAATCACAGCTTGAACTATCTTGCTTTGCATGTAATGAGTCTCTTGCACAATATTCAAATTTTTCGAGTTTCACCTGTATTTTCCGAAAAGCAGGGACCCTAGAAAATAATATAGTGGTAGTTCCAATTTTTTATGTCGCATAATTTTACCTCAAAATGTTAGTAAGAAATACAAGTAAGTTAATTTTAGGGCACAAAAAAAAGCAATAAATTACCCTATTTATTGTAAAAAATAAAAGATGAAGTTGCGAGTAAATAGATATCCAACTTGTAAAACCTTAAATTTGTGTGCGCTCGTGAAATGGCGACGAACTTCAGTACCTTATATTTTCTATAGGTTGACACTTTTAAAGCTCCTTATAGGTCATCAGTTTAGTGTTACGGAGGAGTTCTGATGCTAGAGTTATTGGTTCCATCCTGGAGTGCGCATTGATCTGTGACATGTGTATCGTAATCGACGGTTTCATGCGTAGGCGCCCCAGCATGTGCTTTTACATTTGTACATGCATATAAGGGTCTCAATATTGTTTTTGGGAGGGATGGTATGTGCTTGGGTGCAACTTAAATTTTTTACAATAAAAGTCAACAAAGTCCCCTATGATGATGATTTCTGAAGACAGGTTCTCAGACATCCAAGGTCTAAAAGACCCTGCATGTTGCCCCTCTGCTCCACTGAATGTAATGTGGTGCACATTGCACCGTATTACATTCTTTCCCGGGGATTGTATTGCAATCTCTCAATGGGGACCCGAAAGTGACATTGTAACATCACTTCTGGGTCAGCACAAGGAGGGGAGTGGACTTGTCCACTCTTCTCCCTCCTCTCTAGCCGACGGGGAGCCGGGCCCGCAGATGGGCAAGAGGAGCCCGGGAAATCTCACACCCATGGCGCAGAGAGGCTGGCACTGTGTGAAAGCAATTGGCGGAAACTTCCTACCTATATGAGGTACATGCTTTACAGACTCTTAATAAAAAAAAAAAAAAAAAAAAAAAAAAAAAAAAAAAGAAGAAGGACACACACACATATAAAAGGAACACTATGAAAAACACATTGGGTCTCAATGGGGAAAAATATTTTGCTGGATATCTATACTGATATGGACTGGGTAATGTGTTGGGAATGCAAGGATGCCCCATCGTTTGATGGAAATGAAAATAATCAAACAGAGAACACCCTTCAAAGGCACCCTGAAAATCAAAGTGAAAAAAATTATGCAGCAGGCTACTCCATTTTGCTGCAATTTAATTGCAGCAACTCAAAATGGTACTCAGTAGTTTGTATGGCCCCCACGTGCTTGTATGCATGTCTGACAACGTTGGGGCATGCTCCTAATGAGACGACGGATGGTGTTCTGGAGTATTCCCTCCCAGATTTGGACCAGGTATGGCATCAATACCTTCATCCTCCAGAAACTGCCTGCATACTCTTGCCACATGAGGCCAGGCATTGTCATGCACCAGGAGGAACCCAGGACCCACTGCACCAGTGTAGGGTCCAAGGATTTCATCCCGATACCTAAAGGCAGTCAGGGTACCATTATCTAGCCTGTAGAGATCTGTGTGTGCCTCCATGGACATGCCTCCCCAGATCATCACTGTTCCACCATCAAAACGGCCATGCTGAACGATGTTACAGGCAGCATAACGTTCTCCATGGCTTCTGCAGACCCTTTCACATCTGTCACATGTGCTCAGGGTGAACCTGCTCTCATCTGTAAAAAGCACAGGGTGCCAATGGCGGACCTGTCAATTCTGGTGTTCAACAGCAAATGCCAATCAAGCTCTATAGTGCCGGGCAGTGAGCAAAGAGCCCACTGGAGGACATCGGACCATCGAAGCACCCTCATGAAGTCTGTTTCTGATTGTTTGGTCAGAGACATTCACACCAGTGGCCTGCTGGAGGTCATTTTGTAGGGCTCTGGCAGTGCTCATCCTGTTCCTCCTGGCACAAAGCAGCAGATACTGTTCCTGCTGATGGATTAAGGACCTTCCACGGCCCTGTCCAGCTCCCTTAGAGTAACTGCCTGTCTCCTGGAATCTCCTCCATGCTCTTGAGACTGTGCTGGGAGGCACAGCAAACCTTCTGGCAATGGCACGTATTGATGTGCCATCCTGGAGGAATTGGACTTCCTGTGCAACCTCTGTAGGGTCCAGGTATCGCCTCATGCTACCAGTAGTGACACTGACCCTAGCCAAATGCAAAACTAGTGAAAAACAGTCAGAAAAGATGAGTAGGGAAAAAAATGTCAGTGGCCTCCACCTGTAAAAACCATTTGTTCTGGGGGTTGTCTCATTGTTGCCCATCTAGTGCACCTTTTGTTAATTTCATCAACACCAAAGCAGCTGCAACTGATTAACAACCCCCTCTGCTACTTAACTGTCCAGATCAATATGCCAGGAGTTTAAATTGACTTGATGCTACACTCTGATTAAAAGCGTTCCTTTAATTTTTTTGAATATATATACACATACACACACACACACACACACATATATATATATATATACACACACACACACACACACATTTTTTTTTAACTTGCAAAAAGATGTGCATTAAATTTTTTTTTTTTTTTTTTTTTTTTTTTTTTTTTAAAGGTGAAGTCATCCTGTAGGCACAGAATTGTTCTCAGCAAAGAGACAAAGCTACACAGTAAGCCAGATACACGCTCACTGTAAGGATGCCTCTACCAATGTGCTAAATGCAGTTTTCACAAAGGAGATGTTTACGCCACAGATTGGGCAGGGCTGTGTACCATCTGTGCCATGAGAATTGTATCTTGGGTAACATGGGACAGAAATAAGATTCATTCAATGCCAAAAACCCATTAGAGGTAAACTTGTGATCTGTGTAAGACGACAAGAGATTAGTAAATTACAAGGAAAAGAAAAAAACCTAAATACAGAACAGATGTGCAGAGCGTGGAGTAGATCTTATAATCTATATGGGGAAGGCTTCTGGCACCCTGGAGTATTACATATAAAACAGTGCAGTGTGTTCTGTGGATTACATTCCCAGACAAGTAGTGAATTCCTGCAAGAGGGAAGGTTATTACTCACGTGGGAAATTGTACATGAAGCATGCCTGTGCAGATATGATCCACTCCGCTCGGGTCTCACAGAAAATGGCTATGTTTGACCGCGGTTTCTGGTCAAGTGCAGCAAGTCCACTTCCAAAATGAGAGGCAGCTAAATAGGCCTCATCGTATGTCATCCAGTTGTACTTTCCCAAGATCACCTGTAAAGATAAGGAACAGTGACATAAGCATAAGTATCAGGACAGAGGTATAGGTCTCTTGCAAAATAAATAAATACATACATTTACGAAAACACAGTGAGGTTACTGGAAAAATGAGAATACCAATACCCGCCAAAGTATCAGTGTATAAGTAAGGATATAAATATACACTGACCAGCCATAAAAAATATTTATCACTGACAAGTACAGTGAATGATGTTATTACTGCACCACAAATGCACCTTAAAGTGGGTTAGGAACCAAGTGAACATGGTGCAAGTGTAAGGATCTGCACAACTTTGACAAGGGTCAAATTGTAATGGCTTGATGACATGGTCAGAGCATCTCCAAGACTGCAGCTCTTGTATGATGTTCCCAGTCTGCAGTGGTCTTGACCTACCAAAAGCACTGGGCTGGCTTAGGCTCTCAGTGGATTGCTGAAAGGCTGAGCCACATGCTGGTCCAGCGATCTGGGTGGACCCCAACTTTGAAGTTGCACCTATGCATCCTACAATGCACCCTTATCCAACTCTACATTTAATTTTTATACCTGCACTGAATATTACAGATGAACTAGCCACAAAGGGTCAGTGTTTAAATTAGGGACTGCTTGGTCTAGCCCAGTACTTTAAAAAATTTTATTGTGGCAATAACTTGAGCAAATATTATAACTTCTACTACACACTTGCACAAAATTATGAAATACACTGTTATTTTAGAAGACTGATAAAAATGTAGCAGAATTAAGGAAGAGTGTGGGAAATCAGCTATTAAATTCTATCATATGCAGCAGGAAACCAAGCACCATTAGTATTGAGGGCAGGGTGTGGTGAGTCATGTAAACCATCTTCATCAGTTCATAATAACAAGAATGACTTGAACAGGGAAAGTTTCAAGTGGCCACAAATGTACTTCGCTAGCTTAAAAACTTAAAAAAAAAAAAAAAAAAACACACACACACACACACACACACACACACACACACACACACACACACACACACACACACACACACACACACACACACACACACACACACACACACACACACACACACACACACACACACACACACACACACACACACACACGAGTACAGAGAAAGTGCCCACAAAAAAGACCAACACTGCCCTTCAGTGGTGATACACAAAACTGCAAAGTTTTTTTTACAACGCTCCTGTGCTGAACACTTATGTTTGGTTCTTGGCTGCCGTCCAACAGGGTGAATGATCCTGAGGCAGTTGGGCAATAAAGAGGGAGTAAGGAGTGCATCCGTAGTAAACACGCCTTTTCTATTTAGGAAGTTGCTGGAATGCAGGTAGGCCTGCTCACCAAAGGGCAGGTCACACAGATTATACTGAAGGTAGGGGTCACATTTGCCATATTTTCACCAGTCACGCTGTAAGTGCTAATGCCTTATTTAGTCCTTCCTACATTTTGCAGTATTTAAAAAAGTGTACTGAAAGGGAGATGAAAAAGGGAGACGAAAGCATAAGGGACATAAATTACAGATTTATGATTTGGATTTGTCATTTGTGTTGATGCCCCTTTTAGTTGAGATCCTTGTCCATCTGTCACCCCACCACTTGTAATTTCCAATGTGGTAGGGGTTAATACAACAAACTATCTATCATAGGCTTTCATCAAGAGGGCCCAACTATGCCAACTTTATGACCAGCTGCTCAATTCATTGAAGCTGCACTACAGCTTTTATGAATGAAACACAAATCTATGAATGGAAGGGGGCAACCTATCAATCATCCACCCATCCTAGATTCATAGAAGCTGTAGTAGAATGTCTATGAATGAAGGAGCTCAGAGGAAAGGGCAGGAATAGTCAGGCTTTGACAGTTGTACAAGCCCCTACTGCACCAGAAGATTTAAATTAAAAGAAGCAGCATCCAACAAGGGACACATTCTACTTTCTGTAAGTTGGATCCCTTGTGTGGTTTTCTGTTTTTTTATTTTGGCTGCACTTAGTCTTCAATTATCCTTAAATCTTTTCTTGTGCAGAATCCCTTACAAATTACTTCCTTGAATTCTAGGACACATTCACTATGTCCTGTGAACATGCACTTCTGTGTCACATTTACAGAGCCTGCCTTGTGAATTACAGAGGTGCTAAGAAGAGGAGTATCGGGAGATGGAGTCAGTACAGGAATCACAGCTTGCAGGCAGAAAGGTACCATGGAATATGTAGACCTTAGAGCAGTGGTTCTCAACCTGTGGGTCGCGTTAACCTCTGTTAAAAGCAGCTACTGTGTTGAAAGCAGCAGTATTGGAGGTAAAACGACACACATGAATTATAATTACTGGGTAAATAATTTTATGGTTGGGGGTCACCACAACATGAGGAACTGTATTAAAGGGTCACGGCATTAGGAAGGTTGAGAACCACTGCCTTAGAGAATCAAAACGTAAACCAAAAGGAATGAGCAGAGGAGAAGTAATGACCATCAGGCCGGAAAACACAACATAAAGAGGTTTTTCAAGTAAGCTTGAATTGTCAAAAATAAACTGTTGTTATTACAATGCTGATGTTATGACATTAAAGCGCATGCTGTGAAATTGGAATAGATTAGTAATAGTCTTTAAAACAGATTTAATTTGGATTTTTTAACATATTCAACACTTCACAAAATATTTTTGATGACACGAAAAAAAAAAAAAAAAAAATTAAAGCAGACCCTTATGGTTGCAAAGGTGTTTACCTCCCTGAATCAATAATCTGTTTGTGCAGCAAGCTAACCACACAGGCTTCTGAAGATGGTTGGATTTTAGACGCACTTCCAACTATTCTCTGAAGTAGGAGACAATCTAGAGGAGATTCATGGGGCAACAAACAAAAAAAAAAAAAAAAAACAAGTAAACAAAAAACACAAGCATACATACTAACCTCTATGCTGCAACACTCTACGCAGCTGTCCCCTGCCGATTCCAAGACCATACTTCTCTTTTAAGCAAAACTTGGCAATGATTGACAATCAAAAGACTTAGCAACACACACACACACACACACACACACACACACACAAATTGTGCCTTATTCGATAAAGGTCAGGCTTTGCCCCAACAAGTTTGTATTCACGCACCTTTTTAAAGACTTTCCCATTAGGCTGGATTTCATCTTCTTCACTTAGCACCTCTCTGGTTCCCAAGCATCCTTTGTCTTTGAAAAGGTCTGTAGCATGCTTAAAGACCTTGTCCAGGGTATCGCAGCCCGGGTAAAGTGAGGAGGCAAGACTCTGGAAGCTGTCCACTGAGCGGAAGGGACCGCTCGGATCCTCATTGATAGGTTTGGCTTTTATTCGTTTAGCACGTCTCTGCCTCTCTCGTGCTCCAGACATCAAGAACCATGGAACAAATGTAATAACGCCATAAAGCCACATAAAAAAGTGCAAAATGTAGAGCAGCACTGGATTCATGTCTTCTTTTATCTGCATTTTGGACACTACGAAAGGTGAAGATCGTATCTAAGAAACCTAAATTAAGAAGAAGAAAAAATAAAAGAAAAACATTAGGAGAGAACAAGAATTTCATATATGTACATAGTTTGAGTGAGAAACTTCTACAATTTGTCAGAAAAAGGATAACGCTCTCAAACATCATTTTAGGGTTTCAGTGTTTGTAAAAGCAGTACTATATTACCTAAAATAAACCACCCCAATGATATGGGGAAAAAATGTATTAATAATAATAAATAATATTTACCACCATTTATATATCTACCTCTAACATAGGTTTGACCCCCCCTTCCACTTACAATAAATCTCATTTTGATTGCAGTAAACTAAACACTCAGGCGGCTTTGAGTTAAAGCACTTACTATACAATAACTTTACTTTGCAATACTACATTAATAAGCCTGAAAATATAGTGAATGTGACAAGTTAGAGATTCTGGCATCATTGTATTTAAAGTAGAATTCCAGTGTTAGCTGTTTTCGCTCATCTACTTTCCACCTTTGGTAAAAATTGTGTTGCTCTTTAAAGTTTTTTTTTTTTTCTTCCTTTTCTCATCCTGTGCCTCTGAACTGTCACTGATGGGTATTGCAACAATTATGCATCTTGTCTGCAGACACCCAACTGTACACAAAGCCCAATGGCTGTCAGAGTGTCTGGGCTTCAGGTGGTGTCAAGTATTTCTGTTGCATCCTGTGTAGTGCATACAACTTCCACACAGCCAATGTAATATGTACAACAAACATCATACTTACCTGCTCTATGCATTGGTATTGCACAGAGAGGCCCCGAACCTCTTCTTCTGGAGGTCCCCGGTCAGCGATAATGGCTCCTCCTTCGCCAAGCGCCACCATAGCAAGCCATTTGCTATGTAGGAGCTCACAAGGGCTTAATCCTGAGCAGGGCTGTGTGCATCCAGGCACACAGTGTGGCTTGGCTCCTGCTCTCTCCTCACAGGATTTGATGGACAGCAGTGGGGGCCATGGGCTGCCAAATCTCCTGTAAGGGAGAGATGGGGAAGAGTTGCCACAGCCTTGGCTCAAGGTCAGGCTCAGGTAAGTTTTTAACTTTCTGCCCAGCCTATAGCAATTTGACAGCTTGGCAGGCCTTTCATCAATCTGGGTGGACGTCATGATGTTCTTCCAGAAGGGCTGCACTGTGGGCACAAATCTGTCACTGGCTGTGTCTACCGGACACAGCCAATGACAGATCACTGTACCAGCCTGCTGTCAGTATCATGCGATCACTGTGACCAATCACAGCAGATCACATGACAATTAATGGCCTCAATTTAGAAGAAAAAAAAAAAAAAACACAACCTGAGCACTTCCCCAGAGTAGTGCAATGTTACTATGGTAATATTATATTGCTCTGGTCACAGCGAGTAAAAGAAAAAGAAAAATAAAAAAATGTATGCGATAAAAAAAATAAAACAAATTGAAAATATATATTTTTTTCCCCCCCCCCCCCAAACTGTCACCAGTCACGGTCCCTGATCACTGCCACATCGGTTAAGTGATGATACTGTACTACACTGGTGACAGTATGAAAAAAACCACAAAAATTATGAAACTCACCATGCCTCTTACTAAATACCTCAGGCTGTCTACTTCCCAAAAAGGGGTCATTTGTACTGTCCTGACATTTCTGGGCCTCAGGAAATTAGATCAGCCCTCAGTACATCAGGACTGATCAGTTTTCGGATATATATTCCATAGTTTGAAGACTATAACTTTCCTACAGACTACATAATACACTGATTGATTTGGGCTATTTTCAGCAAAAAGTGTAGCAGAATACATTCTGGCCTAAAATTATACATTAGTGCAGGTTGGAGTTCTACTTTAAGGGTGGCGTTTTTTTCAGCTACATCTAGATTGAAATCAACCCCCAGCCTTAAAGCCCAACTCAGGACAAATAAAATCATGCCTTGCAGTGGGCCTGTACACACACTGCAAGGGTTAATTGCTCCTTTATTTCTAGAGGAACAATAAAAAGAAATATACTTACCCGATTGTCTGCTCTTCCCCGCAGCATCTTCACCCCTACACTCTAGGGTCCTGACATCAAGACCAAAGCAGGGTCCATAGCCTTGGAGGAAGCAGAGGGACAATCCACCACCAGATCAAAAGAGGGAGCCCGTCTGCCGAGGGACAAAATGAGCAATTAACCCTTACAGTGCAGGAAAAAACCCACTGCAAGGGATCATTTTTTTCCACCAATAGTTGGGCTTTACGGTGCACCTATGCCTGGATTATAGACCTTAATCTATTTACATAAACTTCAACCATAAAGTTTTTTTTTTTTTTTTAAAGAGTTAATAAATCCAGGGCCCTGCATTCACTATCTGGTCTCCCACAATACAGAGTACATGGAAGTGCAATTATTTTAGTAAATATAAACTGCTAAATACATTTTATCATCAGAAGTTACAAGACTGCTCTAACTGCTATCAGTGTCCAGCAGAGCACTGGTTAAAGTGTGTAGGGGTTTTCTCTTTCTGCTCTAGGAGGATGCAGAACTCCTGACCTCTGTCTGGACAGTGCCTATTGGCCCTGTGCTGATCACATGCACTCTCTCATAAGAAAAAAAAAAATCTCTAGCAATACACACCAAACTGAGCATGTGCAGAGCGATTCCACACAATATATGTCTTACCAGGACATAAGAGGGGGACACTGGAAGAAGGGGAGGATCAGAGAAGTCAGGCTCAAGCAGCATTTTTTTACACAATGCAGAAGATTAACCCCTTAGATTCCACAGTGAGTATAACAAGCATGCTTTACTGCATATACAGACTGATTTTACTATTGTGGGTTTAGTAACAGTTTATACCCTCACTTGCCTCTTAAACACCCAGATAGTAAACTAAAAGCAGCACACATTACACATTGTTAGGCACACAGTTAACCCTTTCATTGCCATTATGCATTAACCCCTTCCCGGCCAGTGTCATTATTACAGTGTACACTACAGTATTAACACTAATCACTGTAGAATAGTCACTATTGATGATGCCAGTGTCAGTCAGTTAGTGTACCTCCCAGCCAGTGTCGGCTAACACCAGATTGCCTGCCACACTATCACAGTCCCACTATAAGTCAGTCACTGATCACTGCTATTACCAATATAGTGTCGATAGTTGCGTAATTTCTAGAAATTCCAAAAATTCTGTCTTTTTTCATGTATATAATAAAAAACACTCAGTGTTGATCAAATACTACCAAAAGAAACCTATTTATGTGAAAAAAAAGAAAAATATAAAAATGTAATTTGTGAAGTGTTGCATGACTGCGCAATTGCCATTTAAAGTAGCAGAATGCTGAATAGCAAAAAATGGCCTGGTCATGAAGGGGGTATAACTGTCCAGAGGTCAAATGGTTAAAGTTTTTACTGCTTGCTCAGAACATGCAAATATTTTAATGTCAATTTAATATTAGATTTATGCCTTTGAAACTGAAGTATATAGATATAATATTTTTGTTTTACACATTAAAAGTGGCTGGGAAGGCTGAAGGTTTTTACCTGCATGCATGCAATATATGAAGGTAAAAACATCAGTGTACTGCTCAACCCAAAGGCACCCCCCCCCCCCCACAATACTCACATGAGCCCCCTCTCGATCCAGCGATGTGCACCAGAGCCACGGCTGTCCCGGGACTCCGTCACCTCATTGACAGCATTGGGAGCCAATGGCTCCTGCTGCTATCTCAGCCAATTACACCCTGTGAGCCAATAAGGAGAGAGTGGGGGATGGGGCAGAGCCACAGCTATGTGTCTTATGGACACATAGCACTGGACTTATAAGCGAGCATGCACCAGTGCCCCCATAGCAAGCGGCTTGCTATTAGGGGCAATGATCGAGGGGGAGGAGCCAGGGGAGCTGGCAGGGGTCCCAAGTAGAGGATTGAGGCTGCTCTGTGCAAAATGACTGCACATATCAGATACGTATGATGATATATTTGTTATTTTTAAATCCGAACCTTTAAAAACACCACTGCAGTCATTTAACACATTGCAAAAGGATTAAAGCTTGCTGCCTTCCATAATTCCTCCAGTCAGAGCAGAGTTCTGTAATGACACAGTGGCCAGTGTGAGAAGCCATGATGCCCAGGAAGGAACATACTGACACCTATAAGTATCTGATAAAAGCAATGCTACTAGTTTTGCAGTACAGGGAAATAGGACCATTCATTCTTTTCTATTATAGGTACAGCTACCTACATTGTTTTTGTAGAGAACAGGAGACAGGGTCAATAAACATGGATTACTGAAAAAGGACTACTGAATTATTTCTTTATTTCAGGTACTTATATAGCGCCGTCAATTTACACAGCGCTTTACATATATATTGTACATTCACATCAGTCCCTAACCCTCAAGGGGTGTACAATCTAAGGTCCCTAACTTACATTCATACATACTAGGGCCAATTTAGACAGGATCCAATTAACCTACCAGCATGTCTTTGGAGTGTGGGAGGAAACCAGAGTACCCGGAGGAAACCCACGCACAGGGAGAACATGCAAACTCCAGGCAGGTGGTGCCGTGGTTGGGATTTTTACCGACGACCCTAGTACTGCCAGGCGGAAGTGCTAACCATTTAGACACTGAGAATTAGAATGAATATTGTTCTGAATGCCTAATATATAAAGTTTTTGTCTAATCCTAAAAATTAGACAAGAAAATACTGAGGCTTTTTTAAGAAGCGATTACTACTGATGTATCCGCTATACTGCCAGCAGACAGAAATAAGCGAATCTTCCGTTCTGTCCACTGTGGGATTCACACGTGTAATACTACAAGCAGACTGTGGGCTGTGCTGCATACGTGGCAAATACATCAACACAGAATCCAGACCAGAGAAGATTGAATGAAGGGGGAGAAAGAAAAAAAAAAAAAAAAAAAGAACAGACTTCGCACTGAAGTTTTTTTTTTTTTTTTTTTTTTTTAATTACCGCACAACAGTAGGT